TCCAAGTTCTGTTGTTTTTGTTATGTAAAGACACACATCTTACACAGCACGGATTAAAACAATCCCCCAAATGAGTAAAATAAGATATTCATGTGCATGATCACAAGTATAACCCAATTTACCTTTGAGGAGAGGTGTGACATGGTCCTATCATCCCCTAACAAGAAGGTTGCAGAGTTATGAGAGCCAAGAGACAAGGAGAGTCAATGTAAGTGCTATGGAAACCTTAATGAAACTCTTCTGCATGGGTAGTGAATTGCTCTCAAGTGGCTAATTGGATGAGTGATGATTCTGAGGGTCCATCAACAGAGAAATGATGCATACTGGGATGTTTGTCAATATGTCTTCCCTAGCAGGAGCTTTACCACTCTGTTGTGTCCTGGATGCTGAACAGAGAAGTCAGCACAAAGGCAGGGCCATTCGATTACTTGGTGCCATGCTGGTGCTGATACCTGATGTATCTTTGAAGATGGGAAGGAACTTGGTTAACCTCTCCAGCAGACTCCTCCAAATTCAGACACCCCAGGTTTTGTCTACAAAACACATACTTAAGGGGCTGGGGATATAGCTCAGTCAGTACAAGGCCCTGGGTTCAATCCCCAGCACTACACACACAAAAAAAAAAAAAGAAAGAAAAAAAGAAAGAAAACTTAAATATTTCATTAAGCTGGGCACAGTGGTGCAACCTGTAATCCCAGCAGCTCAGGAGGCTGAGGCAGGAGGATCATGAGTTCAAAGCCAACCTCAGCAACTTAGCAAGGCCCTAAGTAACTCAGTGAGACCCTGTCTCTAAATAAAATATTTTAATAAGGCTGGAGATGTGGCTCAGTGGTTAAGTGACCCTGGGTTCAATCTCTGGTATCAAAAAAATATTTTTTTCATTAAAAGGAGGTTAAATCTTTGAAGTGTCAGACTTGTACCATTCTCCAAAAGTCAAGAGAAAATTGAACATGTCTAACATACCTTCAATTTGGTTCAACCTTGCTCCAGTTGAGTCTAGAACTGAAACCCCCACAGCCACTACTGCCCACGAACACACTTGGCCTGTCTCCTGAAGTCTGGAGGGCTAAGTTATTTCCAGCCTCTACCACCAATGTTTCTAAGCATTGGTAGAAAAACTCCCACTTGAGTACACTGTCACATCCTTGGAAGTTGAAAATGACCCTGAAAAGAAAAATTCACACACAGCAAAAAGATGTAGACTTGTTCCTTAGAGATCCAACTGAAATGCCCCAGTCATCGTCAGCAGATTTTTAAAAAGGCATCTGTCTTTTATTTCAAACCCCCTCTAACTTCCTACCCCAATGCTTCTAAAATGCTCTGGGAGGGTCCTTGGATTTGGAATACAGTCTGACTTCTGAGTACCCCACAGGCCACTTTCTACTTCAATGAGATAAGAAATGGAGGGGGGGGGGTGGCACACCATGTAAGTAATTGTAGTTGTATTTAGGAAGCTATACTAAATGATTATCCAGCTTTGACCCTCAAAATATAGCCCTAGAAGTCACCAAATTTATAAACAATACCCATCCCAATATGGACATGCTGCCCCTCAGATGGAGGGTTCAGGAAGACTGCATGTCAGCAGGGTGCAAATGCAATTTTTCCTGCATAGGACTAAAATGTGATGGAATCTTTCCTGCAATGAAAGATTTATGAAAATGTGCTTAATCCATTTTTAGCAGCTCAGTAGTTTTTTTCATGACAAAATAATGTATTTCATCCTGAAAACATGTTGACTATTGTAGCTTCCACACCACCTCAGCACTGCAACAAACCCACTTCTCATACCAGCAAGGCAACCACACATCATAGTTTGTAACAAGAAGGAAAAGGTTATGGGGTAAGGATAGACACAACTTTGTAGCCTTTACACACCAGAAGATGCTGAATTCAACTTCAGAGAGTGTAACTTCCTTTTGGTACAGGGAATTCTTGGAACTGGCTTATTCAACTCCTAGCAGAAGTTTACCCAGTTCTTTGTCTCATTTCCTCCCATCTTTACCAAGAATTTGTTTCTAGAATCTTAAGAAAACTATACATCTTCATCATGTGCTCATTGCTGTAGCCTCACACAGGAAGGGATATGTCCTCCCAGGAAACTGACCCCGTCATGCTGTCAGCTCTCCGGGATCCCATGGGACATATGGGAGGCAACACTATAGACAATGAATACATCCCCAGAAGCCCATGCCTTCCATTAGGCAAGAACTCCCGAGTGTGAGGCCACAGGCCCAAGGGGCAAGAGAATAAAAACTGCTTCCTTGTTTCTCCTTATTACCATTAGCTCATACTTGCCCCCTCTCTCTGTGTGTCAAACTTATCATTCTGCTTTGACACAGAGAGATGAAGAGGCAGTGAGCTTGAGAAAGTACCCCTGGATGCCCAGGATGCATCTTTTAATAAATGATCCCTAATTGCTATAGTATATTGGGGATTTGGCAGGTAATGTGTCTTTGCTGTCAGGGAACTCTCAATATAATAGGAGGGAGAGAGACGAGTAAGGGAAAGTGTGGTAGAGTATGACCATGCTGAGAAGGATGAAGAGTCCTGAGGGAACATAAGGGAGGATCTCCTGACTCAGACCTGAGGGTACTGGGGGAAGTTCAAGAAATCATCTTTGACAAAGTGACAACAAAATTCAGTTCAGAAGGGAAAGAGTGTAAGGAAGAGTACTTTGTAGGGAACAGCAAACGAAAATACTCAGAACTGGCCAGGCATGGTGGTGCATACCTGTACTCCCAGCCACTCAGAAGGCTGAGGCAAGAGGACCATAAGTTCAAGTCCAGCCTAGGCAATTTAATGAGACCCTGTCTCAAAATAAAACAGAAAAAAAGGCTGGGGATATAGCTTAATGGTATAGTACTTGTCTAGCATTTGCAAGGCCCTGGGTTTGATTCCCCTGTTCTGGGAGAAAAAAGAAAACACTCAGAACCAGAAAGACAAAATGGACAACTCTGGACACATCAATGCAAGAAGAGGAGTAACCAGATCACACAGTCTTGGATTGCAGCCTGATAGCAATGGGGAACTGTTGAGGCAGGGGAAGTGAAATGATTGATCAGGGTTGTCAGAGGTAGGAAGTTACACAAAGGAGACAAGTCTCCCCCACCCCTTCATTCCCCATCCTGGAGTGCTGCTCTGAGAGGTTCTGTAAGGCTCAGTTCAGGGCCATGTAGTGGAATTGTTATACTTGGGAGAAACAAGGAGGAAGGGTGGGCAGACAATAGGGTGGCTAAAGATGTTTCTAGGATAATTAACATTTTGCTTTGCGACCATATTGGCACTATTTGAGGCTTATAATGTTTTCAGTTTCAATCCCAAAAGCTCAGCTCACTCATCAATATTTCAGCATATATTCTTGAAAATTATCTTCTTCCCTTTCACTTGTGGTTTCAAAATTCCTCTTCCTTAATAATAAGACAGGCAAAGAGAGATGCTGTACAAGTTCCATGCATGCATATTTTGTTATTAATCCTTCTACATAGCCAATGGGCCACCTGAGAACAGCTTCCAATTCTCATAAACTCCTCTCTGACCAGGTTGGGAAGGCTGCAATCAGCATTAGGACTGACCCATGTAAAGTGGCGTGGACCGTTTCCCCAATACATACTCAAATTCAGCAGACCTGCAGGATGCAGTGGTACATGTCTGTAGTCCCAGTGGCTTGGGAGGCTGAGGCAGGAGGATTGAGAGTTCAAAGCTAGCCTCAGCAATTTAGCAAGGCCCTAAGCAACTCAATGAGACCCCCTGTCTCAAAATAAAATACAAAAGGGGCTGGGGATATGGCTCAGTGGTTAAGTGCCCCTGGGTTCAATCCCCAGTACTTCCCCCCCCCAAAAAAAAAAAACCCAGCAGACCTGGTGGCTGAGTTTCCACTGAAAAGTCTTGGATTCTCACTGATGTAATTTAGGAAGAAAGAATCTGAGACTGAAGGTACAAGGGAGCTAGAGAGAAAAGAGAAAGGGAGCAAATTGTGAGAGAGAAAAAAGAGAAAGACACAGAAGGTGAGACGCAGAGAAGAAGCAGGGAGGGAGACTGGAATGGAGAGAGGACAGATGAAAGAAAACTTCAGTGAGAGAGGGGAAAAAGAGAGAAAAAGAAAAGGAGGGAGGAAGAGGCACTGGGAGGGGGAAGTCCCAGAGCTGTTTAGATGATGCACAGGAAAGTTTGGGCAAGGGTCAGACAGGAGAAAATGGAGCTGCTGAAGCACCTGGATGCCAATAAGCAAATGTGTAAAAGGCAAGGGAGGAGGCAAGCCCACCCTCTCGCCTCTTCTCCATCCAGTGCTAGAGGCAGTTAGGTCTCTGTGCCCTGCCCCCACTGGGATTCCTCTGATATTTGCAAAACCTGCAGTGTCCCAACCTTGCTCTGTCCTGCCCCTACCTAGGACAGTTGTCCCTTCCCTTGAGCAGCATTAAGGAAGGATTGTCAAGGAGGAAGGATTCTGAGAGCCATAGAGGACCCCAAGCCCCCCAGGGATGGCCTAATGGAGGAAGGCAGGGAAAAGAAAATAAATCTATAAACATAAAGAGGGATTGGGCAGGCAGGCAGGCAGGCAGGCAGGCAGGCAGGCAGACAGACAGACTCTCAGGCAGGCAGACTACATAGAAGGGCTCTGAAGTTCCTCTATCATCCATTCACTGTGCCTCCATCCAGAGAGTGAAAAAAAAAAAAAGCATTGCCCCTGCCCTTTAGCCTCCTCCTTCCCTCCTTTCTGACCTAAAGCTATTACCTTGAGGATACCCAGTGGCTGTTGCCTAGCCCTTCTGAGGTCTTTTTTACAAAAATCATTGGAACTTTACTGCTGAGCCCCAGTTTGGCTCCAGGCTAAAAGTGGTTGAGTGGGGGGGGCAGCAGGGCCACTTATGTGCCCTCCTCCAGCTGGAGAGTTGGAGGCTGGACAGAACACCTCTGGCTCTTCTCAAGCAGTAGCGGCAGCCCAAGCTCCTCCCCAGCACAGGGACACACTCTGAACCCCACTCCAGCTGCTGGTGACTGTGCCTTTAAATTGCTGCTTTCAGAGGGTGCATCTAGGGGGAGGTGGGAGGGAGGGAAACATCTTTCTACCGGTCTCCCTCCTCCCTCCCCTCCAAGACTCTCCAGGGTTTAGAGGGTGATTGCTGCCCAAAGAGAATCTTTTTTGGTTCCCTGGCTGGCAACCTGAGGCCCTCCGCAGCCCAAGGCGAGCCCAAGCAGGAACCGGTAGGGTTATCTGTGTCAGGATCATTTCCAGGGGAATAGTTCTGGCCCCTGACTGATAAAGACAGGGCAGAGGAGAAGAGGCAGAAGAGGAAAGAGAGCGCAACTCCTAGCCCAGCCCCACGGGCTCCTTGGAGCAGCCCAAGTTGGAGGAAGGTTCTATACTTTCGGCGTTCCCACAGGGATATTCCCCTCACCTTGGCAGCCAGGCTGAGAAAGGGCTCCAAGGTCCCCACGGAATGACAACTCTTGTTCCTGCAACCCTCTCCTTCCTTCTTCTGTGGACTCTGCCAGGGCAGGTCCTCCTCAGGTGAGCTGAGTGGGGTGAGAAGAAGGTGCATGCAAACACTAGCAGGAGGTTGGGGGCAACCTGGGCAGCGGGCACAGTTTCCTAAGTTTACAAAAAGCCCACAGTCTGGAGGGTTCCAGGGGAGGGCACACACTCCCCCAAACAGGGCTCAGGAGCTTTCCATTAGAGATGTCAAAGCTGGTAGGAAATCTTCTGCATGGGCAAGTTTCCTGGGCCTGGGGTAGGGGCTAGGTAGCTGAGCCCCCAAATGGAGGCCATCTAACTTGCCACCTAATCCTGTCTCCCTACCAGCTGGGCCACATCCTGCTCAGTTCCCTAAATACAACAGCAATATCTGGCAGTTGCCTGCACAAGAGTCTTCAAGTAACACAGGTTTTCCCTAAGACCACATGAAGTTGGAGATGGGCTGCCCAAACTTTGGCCTTCTGCAATCACCCTATCACCCTGACTGTGCATACATGGCTGCTCACTGTCCCTTGAGGGGCACCAAGTAGCAATCATTTCCTCGGCTTGCATGCAAGGCATGCTTGGGCTCCTTATAAATGTCTCCCAACCAACTGCCCGTTTCTTGTTAGGTCAGGAGCCAGTCTAGGTTGACAGGATGAGCTGAGCAGGAAAGATAGTATGGCTTGGACTGAAGTGCATCCCAAGAGCAGTGTACCCCAAAGCAGAAGGAGCGAGTGTCACTGCAGTATCCTCCTCCCCCTCTTAATCCAAGGAACACCCCAGAGCTGCTTGTTTCTGACGAGTCTCCTATCCTACTGCTTGCAGATACATTGGCTGGCAGGCAAACAAGGATGCAGAGCACAACAATAAACTTTAGGCTAAAAAGTAGCTCAGAGTGGAATGACAGTTCACCTGGAGTTGACAGGAGGATATAGAAAAAAAGGAGGGCATGAAGCTGCGACTTGCTGGCCCTCTTGGAAGAGAGGCTGCCTCAACGACCCAAGCTCCAGTGGCAGCTTTTCTACTTGGGTTTGGAGACTGAAGGCGATTAGAGCAAGATGGGCAATTTGATATGCCCATATGAACAATATGGAAACTGAGGCCTAAAGAGGGGGAATGACCGACCGATGTTGTTCTGGTATTTAGTAACTGATTCAGAGTTCTCCTCTTACCCCACCCCAGGGCCTTGTATGAGAAAGCCTGTCAGTTCTGGAACCTCCTAGGTCCTGTCGGTGTTTGGGACTTTTGCAGGAATGAAAGGGAGGAAGGAGTGGCTGTACACAGTAACTTTCCTCTCAGGTCCTCAGACAAAGTAGCCCCAGAAGTGGGGGCCAAAAGAGGAACTGGGGCTGAAGACAGCTTATCCCACAGTGTGTGTTGGGTTCCTAGGGCTGATACTAGTGGGAGAAGCAACCTGAGAGTGGGGATGAGGACAGTAGAGGGTCTGGTTGTTCCATGTGCAGGGCCATGTGGCCTCCCAGAAGGCAGGTGGCAGGTGGCCAGCAGCAGCAGCAGCACCTGGCTAGCATGGACATCCTGTGGTGAAGTTGCAGACTTCTGCTTGCTCCAGCACCACCACCAGCCTCCTCGGATTTCCACGGCCTGCTTAGGCCACCTGCTCTGGCTGTTCCTGCTGGGGGCCAGGATAGCCTCTGTCTCCAGGGTAAGGGTTTTCCCCTGCTTGGGGGAATTCAAGGAGATAAGACTCTAGGAGGTCATGGAAGAGCTGCCACTGAACTTCCCCAACTCTGGTTCCTTGGCAGCTCACCCTGCCACACTTGCCTCATAGTACTGTGGTAGATTTGGTCTGAAGTCAATAGCTCTGGGTTCAAATCTTGGCTTTATTATTTGCTAGCTAGATGATTGTGAGGATATCACTTCACCTCATGAGTCCTCAGCCTCCACATGTATATATAGTTGGCCCTTCATATTCATAGGTTCCACATGCATGGATTCAAGCAACCATAGGTCAAAAATATGTTTAAATAATATCACCTGTACTGAACATGTACAGACTTTTTTCTACCATTATTGCCTAAACGTACTAGTATAACAAGTATTTGCTTAACAGTTACAACGTTTTGGGTCTTATAAGTAATCCAAAGATGATTTAAAGCACACATGAGAATGTGCATGGGTTATATGCAAATATTACATCATTTTATATAAGGGATTTGAGCATCTATGGATTTTGGTATCTGAAAGGGGGTCCTAGAATCAATCCCCCATGGATAACAAAGCATGAGTATATTAGGGATGATCAGAAGGGACTGATATGAGAACTAAAAGAGATACTGTATGTGAAGAGTTTAATATGGTGTTTTAGCTATTTTTATTATTCTATTGATCACTGGCTGGTGCATGGGAAAGAGAGGCCCACTGGCTCAAAGAAGACTGAGACTCAGAAGGACAGCAGCCACCCTGCTGCCCAGTTCCACAGTAGGAGCAGCCATGTCAGCAGTGGAGCTGATTGTCATACCTGGCACAAGGATGATACCAAGATGAAGTAGGAGACACCTGGCCTAGCTAGGAGTCCAGCCTGAGCTCTGCCCCTGCCCCCAAGGTTTTGCTGAGTTTCTGGTCCCTAGTCTATATATTGGCTGGTAAGCTGGTAAGCAGGCATGCCAAAGAGACTTTGCTGTACTTGAAAGAAAACTTCTCAAGGGAAAAGGAAGCTGGCTTCTAGGCCAGGCCAAAGAATACTGGCCCCTTCCTCAAAATCAGGCTGTTCAGGGGGAAAGATGGGAGTTAAGCTTCTTTGCATGATCACCCTACTGGGGGGTTTTCCCATGAACAGGGACCTGCTTCCTCACAATAGTTGAGTACACCTGCTAGCAGCGGCCATGGCCCTGAACCAAAAGAACTCAAAACCTAGCTTCTTGCTACAACAAATGCTAAAAGCCACACCTCCCTCTTCAGAAGCAGGGCCTTACATCCTGTTCATTCTCACTGAAGCCCAAGCAACTGACACCAATACTCAGGGATGTAATTTGTCCCTAAACCCCTCCCATCCTTGGCCAAACCAGATTAGCTGAACATCCCAATGGCCCTATCATAATCAAAACACTGCAGTGAGATATCACTCTTCTTTGAGTACTTTCAAAGCACCTTCACAAAAAGAACACTGTACAAGACCACAGTATGATGTTCAAATTCTAACCCTGTATCTGACCAGCCCTGAGACTTTGAACAAGTCACTCCTTTTCAAACCTCCATTTTCTCATCTGTAAAATGGAAATAACAATCCTCACCCCACAACTCAATGAAAATTATAGGGTTAAAAAAATCTAAACTTGGGGCTGGGAATGTGGCTCAAGTAGTAGCGCGCTCGCCTGGCATGTGCGGGGTGTTGGGTTCGATCCTCAGCACCACATAAAAATAAAAGATGTTGTGTCCACTGAAAACTAAAAAATAAATATTAAAAATTCTCTCTCTCTCTCTCTCTCTCTCTCTCTCTCTCTCTCTCTCTCTCTCTCAAAACAATCTAATCTATGTGAAAACCATTTCCTAGGACTAGTGGCTGAGCTGTCATGTTGGCTTATGACTATTATTGTTCTCCTCATTTTGTACACTGTTACTCAGAGACCCATTCTCTCTTATCTTCCTGCTTGATGAGGAGGCCAGTCAGAGGTAGATGAGGATGAGAATGGAGAGTCTCTGACAAATGCAACTGGCCTCAGACTTCTTTACCTCTCGTGTCCAGGGTGGCTTTGGCAAAGGAGGATGTCAAATCTGGAAACAAGGGGTCTCAGCCCATGTCCCCCTCTGATTTCCTGGACAAGCTTATGGGGCGAACATCTGGATATGACGCCAGAATTCGGCCCAATTTTAAAGGTAAGAAAAGTCATTCTATAAAACTATTCCCTCCTTACCACTTTTTGTGACACACTACCCAGTCAGCCCCTGTAAATTGCCTTAAGGAAGAAGGCTGGTATTCCAGGGCTAGTTTTTATAGCTCAGAAACAGCCTCCCCTCCTTGTAGTCCAAGGGCCTGTGTAGCTGGCACTATCTTCTCCCAGCCTGAAGCTCAGGGAGAGAGACCTCAAACCTAGTCCCTGCCTTCTGGAATGCCCTGCCAATGGGCTGTGCTTTGTACCTTTAGGCCCACCTGTGAATGTGACCTGCAACATCTTCATCAACAGTTTTGGCTCCGTCACCGAGACCACCATGGTAAGGAGTCTTCCTGTTCCCCTTTCCACCCCAATGTGAATGGAGAAGCCAACCAGGCCACACACATTTCATACCTCTGTTGTCCACTTCCTGTTTCATTGTCATGGCTAAAGCCATAGGGGTCTGAATTTGGCCACTGGGAGGATATTTTTCCCTAGCCTTAGATTTCTATAGTTAAAGATGAACTAGCTAAGCAACAAATACATGGCCAAATATGTGAAGTAGCTCCATGCAGACAACAAGCTTTGGAATTAGACAACCCTGGGTTCAAATGCTGGCTCTACTAACTAACAGTGGTGTTAAGGTATGTCTACTTAAATCTTTCTTGGTCTCAGTTTCTCATCTGTAAAATAGAGATCATGATAGCACTCTCCTCAAAAGATTGGTGTAAAAATTAGATGAGATGATACATATAAATAAAGCACATAGCAGAGAGCCTGGCACATAGTAGATGCTTAAATAAATACCTTTTTCCTTCCCATCTTTGTTTTATTAGCCCCAAACAAGCTCCTCCAGTGGAAAATGCCTACTGTCCCCAATATGCCCCAGCATTTCCTCCTCATGACTCTCCTGCTCATGTAGGGTTGCTGAGCCCCTGGAAATAGCACTGCCTCTGATGGACCCATATCTGCACCCTCCCAGGACTACAGAGTCAATGTCTTCTTGCGGCAGCAGTGGAATGACCCACGCCTGGCCTACCGAGAATATCCTGATGACTCTCTAGACCTCGACCCCTCCATGCTGGACTCTATTTGGAAGCCAGACCTTTTCTTTGCCAATGAGAAAGGGGCCAACTTCCATGAAGTGACCACAGACAACAAATTGCTGCGCATCTTCAAGAATGGAAATGTGCTCTACAGCATCAGGTACACCCGGTGAATGGCCAGGAGAATTTGCATCAAGGGGAAGAAGACAGATGGAGGCTGAGGGTGGAAGAAGTGTCCCCTTTGCAGTGTTAGATCCCAGTAAGCTGATGTCACTTCTTTCTTACTGTCACCACCAGATTGACCCTCATTTTGTCCTGCCCGATGGATCTCAAGAACTTCCCTATGGACATCCAGACCTGCACGATGCAGCTAGAAAGCTGTAAGTGTCTCTAGAAAGTCATGGAGCAAGGCCTGAAACAGCAGCTAGTAAACCCCATCTCATGACATCCCAGGTATTAAAAGGGCTACTCAGAGTCAGGCGGGGTCTACACAAGAACACACAGACAATTCTTAGCATAGATGAGACTAGAATCTAGGGTTTTCTGACACTCAGTCCAGTACATTTTTCCATTTTCTGGTCTAGATATTCCAAAGACTAGGACATGGGACAGCACAAGCCTGATACACAAATATGCTTGTAATGACTATAGAGGGGGATTTGAAAGGGTGTCATCTGCCTAAAGATATGTTCCCTTAGTATTTCCCTGAGTTAAGACCTTAAAGATGTCTATAAAATGCCATTGTTGGGCAGGGTAGGGTATTCTCTGAACTCTGATTCCCATGAACAGAGAAAATCATTATAGAGAAGTAGGAGAGGATAGTTTCAAACATAGAAAAGTGACTAGAAAGGAGAAGTCACCCAAGGGTTCCTCTTTGGCAGAGATACCAGTCTATAAGTGCTGTCCTAAGTACAGAGGAGCCAAAGGATGGCAAGGCTGGTCTGTCACCTGTTTCCATTCCTTCCCCATCTCCTGGGTGAGTTGAGACAAAATCAGAAGACATCCACAAGGTCCTCAGAGAAGTCATCTCATAAGGCTATTTCTAGTACATAATAACAGTGACACATAGAATGTTTCCTGTGGTCAGCTCTTTAAGAATTTTTAAACCACAATCACATCCAGGTTCCCATAATCCATTCACAACAACTTTGAATACTGAGCAGAGCTGGGCATGATTGTGCATAATTAACAATCCCAGCAGCTCAGGAAGCTGATACAGGAGGATCATGAGTTCAATGCCAGCCTCAGCAATTTAGGGAGGCCCTAAGCAACTTAGTGAGAGCATATCTCACAATAAAAAATAAAAAAGGAACTGGGATGTGGTTTGGTGGTTAAGTATCTCTGTGTTCAATCCCTGGTATGGAAGGAAGGAAAGAATTATGGAAGAAAGGGAGGGAGGGAGGGAGGAAGGGAGGGAGGGAGGGAGGGAGGAAGGAAGGAAGGAAGGCAGGCAGGCAGGCAGGCAGGCAGGCAGGCAGGCATAAAAATAAACAGAGCAGCTGCTGTTCTCATTAAACAGAAGGGGAAGTGACTCACCCAAAGTCACACAGCTACTCTGGGTCAAAGCCCTACACTGGATTCTGTGAGCCTTAGTGTTTTTGTTCCCTTCTTGACTGACATACAAGAATTGGTACTATAAATGGCATGAACTTTCATGAACTGCTCTCTGTGAGAGATTTGCATGTTCAGATAGTAACCCTAAATTTGTCCCAATTCAAGGCTCTGGCTAGGAGTCTGTGGTATGCACATTGTCCCATGCATGACTGGCAAGATATAAATAGCTCTCTCTTCCCTGAGGTGAAGTGGCAAAAGCCCTGGCTCTGAGGCTGGCTCAGCTCAAGACATGTGGTCAGTACACATGCTTGCTCCTCTGGGCTTAATATATAGCAGGATGTTCCCAGCTGGGGCCCTTGATATCATTCCAACCCTCCTGGCCTTCATTCTAGATCTGCCAGAATAATTCTTCTTTGGGCCTTTCTCATGCTTTTGAACTTGGTAGGAGGGTAGGAGAGGAGTCTGGAATCTTCTTGACTTACCCACTTAGGACAGGCCCATGAGACAAATGAACAAATATCCTTTTAGGAAAAGTTTCCCTTTCCAAGATGAGCTGCAGTTCCTAAACCCCAGGACATGTTTTTCATCTGTTCTTGCCTGCTTGTTTCAACACTACCTCTAACCCTACCCAACACCCATTCTGCAGCTCTCTGCCATCTCTGTCCCTTGCAGTTGGCTACACCATGAATGACCTTGTGTTTGAGTGGCTAGAAGATGCTCCCGCTGTCCAAGTGGCTGAGGGGCTGACTTTGCCCCAATTTATCTTGCGGGATGAGAAGGATCTAGGTTATTGTACCAAACACTACAACACAGGTAAGAACCAGGCTTTTTACTTGCTAGGAGGAACACAAGGGCCTCCAGATGGGAAGCAAGGGAACAAGGCAGCTAGCCTCTACAGAAGTTCCAGTCTAGGTGAGAAATGATGCTATGTGCTTCATAAACTTTATCTCATTGTGGTCATGATTATCAACACATTTTTCAGTAAGAGAACACTGAAGTTCTATGAGGTTACATTAATTGTCCAAGTCACACAGCTTTTAAGTAGCAGATTCAGAATTCAAATCCAAATCTAAATCCAAAGCCCATATTCTTGTCCCTGTCACATGAAATAGAGCTGTGACAGTGAGTAGCAGGAATTTTCCACTTTTCCTGGGGCCAACTTTGTGTGAAAGCTAGGAAATCCACATTTCAAAGTAGTCAATGGCTGTGCTGAACAGGGAACAGGCCTGAGAGTAGCAGCCAGCTTAGCATCCATTCCTCTCAGGTGTGAAATATAGGTCTAGAAGTGGAGAGAGGCTGCTATTCTAGCCTGAGTGTCTACTCTTTGCAGCTTCCCTAAGAGTTGCTGATTCCTCATTTCCCCTGACAATTTGTGAGGAGCTCAGATTTTAAGATAGAGGTAGCAAATTGAAGGGAGGGAGATCCTGGGTCCCTCCTAAGGTGTTCTGATATATTTTGGGTGCTCCTTATCAACATGTGTGTGCACATATGTGAGATGCATGGGTGTGGGGAATGGGTAGAGAAACAGTTCATTGAATTCAGAAAAGGCCAGTGGAAGTAGACATTGATATAACATTTTGGGGCTAAAAAATTGGCAATTTTTATGTAGGTCAGTGGTTTTCAAACTTTGGTATGTAATATATATTTCCCTGGGGAGTCTGCTAAAATGTTGATTCCTGGACTCTACCTCTCAGGCATTCTAATTACGCATGCCAGGAATGATGTCTGGAAATTTGCATTTTAACAAGCATCCTGAGGATTCTAATGCAGGTAATCCAAGAAAAAAAAATGGTACTTTGAGAAACTTTTTAATCTACAAGTTAAATTTTTTTTGTACTTGTTTATCAGGAATTCCACTCCTTGGAATGTATTATAAGGAAATGTTCCAACATATCACATTGACTTTAGACCCCAAGATGGCTCCTGGGTCACTGTTTATACTGCCCAAACCTTGGAATTGTTCTAACTATCCACCAGTAGGGCAAGGTTAAGTATGCCTGCTTGGAGCAATAGTATGCAGACATTAAAAAGGATGCTTGTGCTGGGTGTGGTGGTGCACACCTGTAATCACAGTGACTCGGGAGGCTGAAGTAGGAGAACTGCAAGTTCAAAGCCAGCCTCAGCAACTTAGTGAGGCCCTGTCTCAAAATTTTAAAAAAATAAATAAACAAAAAGGGCTGGGGATGTGGCTCAGGGGTAAAGCACCCCTGGGGTCAATCCCTCAATCCCCAGTACAAGAAAGAAAGAAAGAAAGAAAGAAAGAAAGAAAGAAAGAAAGAAAGAAAGAAAGAAAGAAAGATGCTTGCAAGGTTCTTGTATTTACATGGAAATGTACAAATTTTAAAAAGTAAGATTCAAAGTTGAATACATAGAAAAATTGTATTGTGATAAAAGAAACAAACAAAAAACATGCATTTAAAATCCTAGAAGGAAATATGAGCACTAAATGTAAAGTAGTGTAATACAACAGATATGAGCAAGAACTTTGGAGTCGGATAGTCCTGAGTTTGGATTCTGGCTATATTATTCACGAGTTGAGTGTCCTTGAGAAACATAACAATCCCTTCATGCCTCAGTGTCCCTATCTGTAATATGGGAAATAATAATAGTACCTGCCTCAAAGATTTACTATAGTTTTAAATGAGATAATGTCAGGGTACTTAATAAGGGCTTCATAAATGTGAGCTTATGAATATTATTATTTTCCCCTTCTTATTTTTTTTCTAGTGCATTGGCCCCAGGCATCTGTACCAGTGCTCTGCCTCTCCTGCCAGCCGCCTTCTAAACAAGTATTAATTTCATAATGAAAAACAACTGCTATTACAGGAAAAGGAAGGAATGAACAAAGGGAAAGAAAATATATAGGTACTTAGTAAAAACATATCATGGCAAGAAGCTCAGAGTAGCATGAGGTAGGGTAGGATCAGGGAACAGTAGGTAGTCATAGTGTTACACAGGTTCTCAAAACCTTCATCAGTCATTGATGAAATCACTGGGCTTGAGAAATCTGGTAGGCCTGGTAAGAGTAAGCCTGGATCAGGATAAAATAACAATACCATGTCCACAGGTTCTAAATCCAAGGATTCAACCAACTGCAGATAAAAAATATTCAAGAAGAAATTGCATTTATTCCAAACATGTACAGACTTATTTACTTTTAATATTTTTTTAGTTGTAGATTGACATAATACCTTTATTTTATTTATTATTTTATGTGGTGCTGAGGATTGAACCCATTGCCTCACATGTGCCAGGCAAGCACTCTACCACTAAGCTACAACCCCAGCCCTAGACTTATTTTCTTTGTCATTATTCTCTAAGTAATACAGTGCAACAACTATTTACATGTTGCTTATACTGTGTTAGGTATTATAAGTAACCTAGAGTTTATTTAAGGTATATAGGGGGATGTACACAGGTTACACACAAATCCTGTGACATTTTAAATAAGGGACTTGAGCATCCACAGGTTTGGGTTTTTGCAGAGGGGTCTTGGAACAAATCCCCCATGGAAATCAAAAGATGACTATATATATATATCCTCTCATTTTTGTTTGGGTTGTCTTAGGCTTCTTCTTCTGGAGAATCTATAAGCAACTGTTTTCTTAGCTTCAGGGTCATGGGAAGCAGGGTAAAGTGAAGATGGCTGAGCACTGGTACATGTACCTAGGGCTAATGTACCTTTTGTTGTTAGAATATAATGCTGTTGCCTAACGCTCTATGGGAAACTACTGCCCACTGTCCAGAGCCAGTCTCTGATGGGCATTGTTTATAGATGTTTGTTAAATGGCTTTTCTCACTTGCTTAAGACACAGGCAGTCTTTATCCCAGTACTGTTGCTAGACAGCTTCTGGGATACTAGCAGTTGCAAGCAAGGCTGCTTATATCTGAGTAGAGTCTGAACTAATTGTCTTGTTAATAATCATACAGCAATAGTAATAGCTACTTATGAGTTGAACACCTCAAATACATAATTTTATTCAATTTTTCCAACAGCCCAGTGATGGCACTGATATTGCGACTACTCTGTTTTATAGGCAAAGAGTCTGAAGTTCAAAAAGCTTGGGTGTTTTGCCCAGGGTCACACAACTAGTAAGTGAAAAGTTCAGGATTCAAACCCAGTCAGTCTGACTCTGGAGCCTTCTTGCTTTTATCCTCTTGCTGTGCTGTCACTCAAAAGACCTCCTGCTGGAAGCCAAAGTGCTAGGAGCAAGAGGGCATGTCCTTTATGGCTGCTCTGGGAACTTTCTTAGTAGATGTCAGGCACTAACTGTGGCCATTTTCAAAGGTTCATTTATTGGCCCAGCTGAGGTGCCCCAAATTGTTCAACAGAGACAGGGATATCCTAGTTCTGCCACTTAGGATCAGCAGAAGGCTGAGGACCCAGGGCCTGATACTTCACCTCTTTCCTTGCAGGGAAATTCACCTGCATCGAGGTAAAGTTTCACCTGGAACGGCAAATGGGATATTATCTGATTCAGATGTATATCCCCAGTCTACTCATCGTCATCCTGTCCTGGGTCTCCTTCTGGATCAACATGGATGCTGCCCCTGCCCGTGTAGGCCTCGGTATCACTACTGTGCTCACCATGACAACCCAGAGCTCTGGTTCCCGGGCCTCTTTGCCTAAGGTGAAGAGACATGCAAGGGAACCTGCTTGTCATCAAGTTTCCCATTTCTCATTCATAACATGCTCCCTCCTGATCACTACTGACCTTGGATTTAAGGTTGAGAGGAGCCACTGAGTGGGAACAGGCATCCAACATACTCTCTTCCCCCACAACATATACCAATAATATAGATAACAACGTGGAGGCTGAGGTTAGGGATTCTGTCTGGTTAGGAAGTGAGTACTTTCTTCAGGACATACTAGCATGTCTAAGATCAAAAGACCCTCATCAAGTAAAAAGTCATACTCCCTCATGGTACAGATGAGGAAACACCTCAGATGGGTAAAATGACCTTCTCAAGGTCATGTCCCACCAGAAACGACCAAAGCAGTATCAGGATTCTGAACCAACTTCTGTCTTCTTACTATGGGAGAACCAAGATACTATTACAAAGAGCTCTAGATATAGTGTCTAGTTTTTGAGATGAAAAAAAATTTGAGGTAGCAAATAGAAATTAAAGGCAGTAGACTCTGATCATCTGGGGCCTAGTTATGTTTTGATTACGCAGAAAGATTTGTGCTGATGGGACTAGGAACAGCTCTCCCTGTCTCATGTCTTCCTGTAGGCAATTTAGAGGTCACCTCAAAGTCCTTACAGTCAGCAAGGCTCTGAGCACATTGGGGAGTTAGAACACTCATTTATTCAATAAATATCTATTGAGCATTTACTATATACCAGACACTGTACTTGATCATGGAAAAATAATGGAAAGGAAAAACAACACAGTTTCTCCTGGATCTTTCCGTGAACATGTTCCTTCTTGCTCTGATTCATTAGGAACCAGAACCTTTGATCTCCCTTCTCTCAGTGTTTGTTCATAATAAGACTTTTTACTTAGGGCAGGGAGTAATCTGGGACATTCATGGCAAATTTATGAATTTGCTATATGGGGGAATAGTGGTTAAGTGTATGAAATTAGAGTCAAGCAAATTTGGGTTTAAATCCCAGATTCATCATTTACTAATAGTGTGACCTTAGGTAAATTCCTTAACCTCTCTGTCTTACTCGAAACATGGGAATAAGAATGCTATTGCAGCTGGATATGGTGGCTCACATCTGTAATCCCAGCAGCTTGGGAGGTTGAGGCTAGTGGACTGTGAGTTCAAAGCCAGCCTCAGCACTTTAGCAAGGCTCTAAGCAACTTACCAAGAACCTATCTCTAAATAAAATATAAAACAGGCTAGGAATGTGGCTCAGTGGTTAAGCACCCTTGGGTTCAATCCCTAATACTAAAAAATAAAAAAGAATGCAAATATATATATATCAATATACAAGGCAATGTTTGACAATAATAACTACTCAATAAATGTTAATTATTATTATATTTACCATGTGTCAGATTTGAAAAGAAACGTGATGGATATGAGAAAGCAGCAGCTAATATTGACCCCAATTATTTTTGATCTGCTGAGAAACCATTGAGGTAGTCCAAAGTTCTAGAGAGAGAAATAATTAAGATCAGGATCAAGTATCCAAGGAAAAGTTATTGGGGTCACTTCCTGCAAATATGTTTCCTACATGGACAGGGATATTTATGAGGCTCTGAGAGGCAGGATGGATTTAGACAAGGACCACAGGGCCCAGGCTGGGCTGTGGTAGCTATGTTTTGATAGTGGCCTATATGGAAACCAGAGGCAGTAAAGTAATTCAGCCCTAAGAACTCTGCCCTAGTTTATTGCTTCTGCCATATCAAGGAGATTCTTCTCTAACTCTGGGAGCTATTGTAATTTATGCCTTCCTTTTGCCAAGAGAACTTCCTTTTCTGGTCCCCTCCTGTGAGTGAGCACAATCCATCTGCTCCCAGGAATCACTTAGTTTCCTCATTTGGAAAAAGTAGACTTTATTGGGAGGTTGTTTGTTTACAACATTTTGTGCCTTCTTTTACCTCACTGGCCAGTAAGCAAAATACCCAGGCATGCACCCCAAATGAAACAGCCTCATTAGTCAGCCCCACAGAGCAAGAAACTCAGTAACCTAGGAAGCATCTGCTCACTCTTGAGTTTGTATAGCATTAAGTTCAGTGGAAGCCCTGAGAAAAGGGATGGAGCCAAGCCAGGGGACTCTGAATTCCACTCTACAACACAACTTAAGTGTCTAGGATGAAATTCTCAGAGACTTGCTTTGTAAGAGAACTCAGCTGGGGTGTCCATTCTCCATGATCCCATGAAACCACTCCTTTGCTCTTATGGGGGACCTCCAAAGACACTCACCACTATCTCTTTCCAAGGCCCTTGATCTCCACAAATGCAGATGCCTCAGAAAAGAGTAGAAGGGCTAAATGAAAGATTTTTCCAGGTTAGACCTAAAGTTGTAGAATAAAGGAAGGACCCAATTCTCTCTAGATCTTGTTATCTAACTAGCCTTTAGCTCTCGGGGCAAGCAGTGGAAAGGAGAGCATAGAGAGCAAGTAGAAGCCAGTAGAGAAAAACTCATTACCAAACCATCTATCCATTCATTGATTTTAAAAAATTAACTATGTGCCAAGAACTCACCTGGGCACTGGGACTAGAACAGCATATAAATAATCCCTGTCATGGAAGAGCTCACAGTCTAGTGGAGGGAATAGTCAGGTATGTGATGGATGCTAAGAAGGTATAGGTAACCTGGGCACATATACCAGGACAACCAACACAGACTAGAAAGATCAGGGAAGGCTTCCTAGAAGATGTATGTATCTAAAGTGGAAGCTGGAGGATATATAAAATTATCTAAGTAAAAGACAGACAGAAAAGCAGAGATTTGCTTCTTAGAAAACTACTAAAATAGTTCACCATAGTGGATCATAGATTGCAAGGGGCATGATGAGGCTGGAGAGGTAGGCAGAGGCTCCATGTCATGATTAAGTGGAGTGTGGACTGTAGCATAAGGGTAATAAAGAACCACAAAGGGGTATAAGGTGAGGGATAATATGATCAGATTTACATTTCATAAACAAAACTCACTATCATTTCGAAAACATATTGGAGGTGGCAAATGTAGAAGCTGGGAGACCATTTAGAAACTGTTGTAGTCCTTCAGATGAGCTATAATAGTAGGGGATGGACTCCTGAGATTTAAAAAAAATACATTGATACATCATTCATCATTAACAAGACATTATTCCTGGTGCTTAATGTGTCCTTTCCTTTGATGGTTCAAAGCCCTTCATTATGCTCCTTTGTCACTGACTCATCATTGATCTTCACAACACACATTTGCCATCCCTGGGGGCACAGTGGGACTGGGAGATGGAGAATGAAATAAGTGGCAAAGTGGAGACACCAAGGGATGTCTAATCGTAGTTGCCTAGCAACCCATTACCACCCTTTGTGGTATCACCCTAAAACAACTAGAATAGGATTTCTCAGCCTCATAGCATTACTGCCATTTGAGGAAGATTTTTTGGTGTGGGTGTGGGTGTGTGTGTGTGTGTGTGTGTGTGTGTATACTGAGGGAAGGCTGTGCATTGTAGGATATTTACTGCCACCCTAAAATTTTACAACCAAAAATGTCACCAAACATTGCCAATTGATCCTCAGAAACTGAACAAAGTTTTTTTTTTTTTTTTCAGTTAAGAAATGCTAAGGTCAGGGGTTGGAGGTATACCTCAGTGGTAGAATGCTTGCCTAGCATGCCCTGGGTTTGATCCCCAGTACGAAAACAAAACAAAAACTAAGGTAAAGAATTATTCCATGAGACCTTCTCCTTACCTGGGATCCACAGCATCCTTGCTGCCCAACAAAACAGAAGCTGATGAAAGAAGTCATATGTCCTGAATTCTACCCCTGCTGAGGAGCCTTATGCCATGAGCTCAAAACTAGGTAGAATTATATCTGGTTACGGAGGTGAAAGGATTTCAGAAATCTGAGCTCTACTCTCCTCCTGGCCCCACCCAGCTCTAGCCTTGTTCCAGGAGAGGTCCATGTTCAACCTCCACAAGGGTAGTAGGAGAGAAAAGTACTTAAAGACTGCCAAGGAAGGTAGTGAGAGGAGAGTACTAGAGTGAATAATTGCATGCCAACAGTGCATCCTCATGATACTGGCCTATTTTCCTCTCCAGGGTGAGCCCCATTCCTAAATAGGCACTCTTAAAAAAGAGCAGGAAAAAACAGAACTCCCAATACACACCTTCATATTGGGTAATCTTTGCTAAACCCTTCTCTCTGAGCTTTAAGTGTCCTCATGTCTCTTACATGGGCATGGTGAACCCTGCCCAGTTACCACGAGGGTTGTAAGAACTTGAGGAGATAACACCGGCAAACAAATGCATTACTCGTGATTACTGCTGTTTATTGAAATAAAAGAATCAGAAGACGAATGAAAAGAATAATAAAAAGCAGAAGGAAGTCGGGCACGGTGGTGCATGCCTACAACCCCACTGGCTTGGGAGGCTGATGTAGGAGGATTGCGAGTTCAAAGCCAGCCTCAGCAAAAGCAAGGCACTAAGCAACTCAATGAGACCCTGTCTCTAAATAAAATACAAAACAGGGCTGGGGATGTGGCTCAGTAGTTGAGTACCCCTGAGTTCAATCCCTGGTATCAAAAAAAAAAAAAAAAAAAAAAAAAAAAAAAAAAAAAAAAAAAAAAAAAAAAAAAAAAAAAAGCAGAAGCAGAAGTAGAAATGCAAGAAGAATATAAAGGAAGAAAGGAAAATAAGTACAGGGAGGAAATGCAGATGGAAATAGAAGGTGGAGAGTGCAGAGAGGTGAAAGATGATAAGTAGGGGCTGGGTTGTGGCTCAGTGGCAAAGTGCTAGACTAGCATATGTGAGGCACTGGGTTCGATTCTCAGCACCGCATATAAATAAATGAATAAAATAAAGGTTCATCAACATCTGCTTTTTATCTTTAAAAAAAGATGATAAGTAACCCAATCTCTTTGACATGAGCTTTCAGACAATGGGACATATCATGGAAAGCTTCTTTAAAAAACAAAAGAAATTCAGGATAAAACTGAACATCAGGCAGTTGATACAGGCTAGAAATCCACTGGATGGACCATGGAAGGATGTCAAGATGGCTGACTGCCCTGTTGGTGGATGTTATAGGTATCCTACGTGAAGGCAATTGACATCTGGATGGCCGTGTGTCTGCTCTTTGTGTTTGCTGCCCTGCTGGAGTATGCTGCTGTCAATTTTGTCTCCCGTCAGCATAAGGAATTCATGCGACTTCGAAGAAGACAGAGGCGCCAACGCATGGTGAGTACAACTAAGGAGGTGCCCGCTTTCTTTTTCCTTTGGACTCCTTCTTCCCTACTACTACTCCCACAAACCAAGACCCAACCTAAGCTGCAAGAACTGAACAAGCAGTCAGGAACCCTGGATTTTAGTCCCAGGCTGGGCACAGTTAAGCTAAGTACAATATCTCTTTGGTTTTGTTTCCTATGTATTCAATGGGACATTAACCCCTATAAGGCAGTATAGTAGAATGATTTAAGACCATGGGCATAGTGCCTAGCATACACTATGCACTGAAAATGTGTCAGTTAGTATTAGAACCTTACCAACTTCGTTCATATGACATTGCTTTGAGAAATAACAATGGTTGCTCCTGGCTCTCTCTGCACCAAGAAGGACCCCAGGTTTTCCACACTAATCAGTGGTAAAGAATTCAAGAGTCAGACATTGGTGCCTTTCTAGGGAGCATTATAAGAGGGTTCTTATAATTAAGTTAGAATTGAAAGAACACTACTTGCCTCTTCTGATTGTTGGATTTCTTCTTGATCTTCACTGGACACATCAGAGTTGTTGGGCTTGGACTGTTGTTCTCCCTCACTCTTGTTTGTTAACCCCATTTCTTCTACAGTAGAATGATCACCTAGGGAAATATAAGAGGAAGCTTGTTGTCATGACAACACAGGCAGTTTACCCTCAGTTGCCCAGACAATAGGTGCTAAGTAAGTTGTCATGACAACAGAGATACCTGGGCTATCCTCAAAGAAGCAAGCTTCCAATTATGAGCAAAGCTAAAAGTCTTTGCTAAGCTACATGCTAGTTGCTTAATCTCCAGGGACACAGAGTTCTGGTCTGTCTTCAACTGTGACCCTATGTTTTCTGCCTAATTTCAATACTTGAAAACTAAAGGGGCAAGTGCAGAATGACTTCTAGGGGATAGGAAACAATTACAGTTGCCTAGGGTGTATTGCGCCCTGGATTCGACTCCCAGCATCACACATATGCATACAGAATCCTGGCTCTAGCCAGTCTGAACCACAAACTATCTATGGTTTCATGCCCCTTGCTAAGGTCCTTCTCTGCAGAGGGTGGGGTTCCTGGATCATATAGGGGTTTGTCCAAATTTATGCACTCTTGCCTCACTTCATCCCTTTAACTGGGTCCTGGGCAGCATGCCCTCTAGTGGATTGATCCATAACTGCATGTCCTTGGGTAGGACTTTTTTGAAGACTTTCCTGTCCCATACCGAGGGTTAGGGCAGAAATATAGACTTGACAGGGAAAGGAAAGAGGATTCTCTTTCTTCTAAGCTAACTGTCTCCACCCCTTCTTTTGTTGGTTCAAACCTACTTGCAGGTACCAAAATCTTATTCTTACAGGGGGTCTGACCTTGACAACTTCTGAATGTTTTCTTTGGAAAAGAAAAGTAGGTCACCAACCAGTCCAGAGTCCTTTTCCCAGTTACATTGTGTGTGTTTACGTCTCAGCACCAAAATATTGCTAAAGTTACCATAGACCTATTCCATGTTGACACTAGTCCCACCTCTTTCTCTGCATTCACCCAACCCCCAACTGGCCACAAGCTGTCCCCTCCTGCTCATATATAGGTTGACCCTGAGTTCATAATGGTGTCTGTCATAACCAGTGCTCAATTATTACAAAGTTATAACAGCATCTTGGGGCCTGCTTAGGACCCTGAAGCCTTCCTGGAAGTGGTCTGGGGTTTACTATTAAGGTGAATAAATCTGTGCCACAAATCATGTTCCTTTTCAAGTCTCCTAAAGCTACTGTCATTCCAGTAGAACTGTAAAGGGAATACTGGAGGCAACAGGCAGGCTGAACAAGTTGATGGAGAGTTCACCCATTACTAGAACCTCTCTGGGTCCTACCATTTCAGCAGAAGGAAATCCTTAGCCAAAAAAAAAGATAGGAGGGGCTATGGTATAGCTCAGTTGGTAGAGTGCTTGCCTCACATGCAAAGGCCCTGGGTTCAATCCCCTGCACCACCAAAAAAAAAAAAAAAGAAAGAAAGAAAGAAAAAAAGAGATAGGAAAATAGGAGCCAGTCATCCCAGGGTCTTCAGGCTTAATCCTTTTCTTTTCTAATCTCTCCTCAACCACCCATTTCCACTACATGGTGATCTCCTTCCATGTCACTTACTAAAATATTTGAGGTTTTTTCCCCATGTGTTTCTGCTTTATCTTCCCAGTTAGTCTACAAGATTTATAGGGAAGGATGAAGCTCTATTTTTTGTCACCTCTGCAGGCCCTAGCACCAGGCTTTAAAAATAGCAACCATATAACGCAGCCCACCAACTTTTGCAGGCTGTTTGGTAAGGGTACTCTGTCAAATTGGACAGAAAGAAAACCTTGCCATTATCAACAGAATAACTTGAAAATGGAAAGAATTTCCAAAGTACTGCCAAGTTCTCTCAGGAACTTAGTCCCAGAACTCTGCTTATCTCTGCCATCCTCCATCCAGCACCCTCCCCAACCTCCAGTCTCTTTTTCCTGCCTCTCTCACACGTCAATACAGATTACTTCACCTCCCACACTGTGCCTTCACTCCCCAGCTTGATTTGGAATATCTTCTCTCTCTAGTTTCTCAGTCCTCCTCCCTTACAGATATCTGGGAAAAATGGAGTTCTGTGTCAACAGCAATAGAAGTCACAAAGTGGTATTTATAGCTCCATTTTCCCTCCCCAACACACACACACACACACACACACACACACACACACACACACACATATACACACACATTCACACACCTCAGAATTTGGCCTAAATGGATAAGACACAAATCCAGGACTCCCTCTTTCAGGTTACTCATCTTTATTCCTCCAGCTACAAGAAATACCTGTTAAAATCAAAAAGACCTAGACTCATTTATAAGCCATATTTTTTCTACTGTATGAAATGTCTTTTTATGGCCTGGGAAATATTTCCAAATAATTCCTTTTGGATTTACTGTGATTGGAGAAAGAAGAAATAATTGGATATAGAAACAGAAATAGCAGTTGTAATCTAACCTCCCCTGTAAAAATGAATTAGAGAATTCATGTGAGATGAGCCAAGTCCTGTGGTGAAAGACAATTGGAATTATCTTGAACATAAAGCTAAGACTTCCCTATTACAACCACTTGGGGTTAAGGTACACCACAACAGCAAATTGTCTCTGGTCTACCCACATACAACTCTTTCCACAAAGACCCTGACAAATCAAGGATAGGGCAGCAAAGCTCTAGGGTGGACAGACAGATTCTTTCCTATGCCAAAATGCTAATCCCTTTCTGGAAGTCAAAGAGCATCAGGCCATTGTGCAGGGTGGGCAAGGAGTAATTATTTTTCCTGCAAAGTATTTTATAACCCAGGGAGTTTCACTTCTGAGTAAACTTTGGGTTTGAGATCTTGAAAGGATGCTGGCTGCATAAGAACAAAAAGCTCTTCTCTTCCTATATTCTGAAGCATGTGGCTCACCAGTCCATTCGTTCACTCCACCAAAGTCTACTGAGTTCCTGATATGTTTCAGGCACAGAAGTAGACACTGGAAATACAGCAGTGAACAAGACCAACACAATGCCTACTTGACAGGCTTGCCCTCGTGACAGGTCAGCTTCTGGTGATACAATAATCAAGGGTTACTAGGACTTACCACACCAATGTCCAATTGGCATTTCAATGTGCTACTATAGCTGCAGAGGTCCCATTATGAAGATCCTATGATGTCCCTCTAACTGCACAAAATGTTTAAAATCTATTTGATCCACATTTTAAAAATATCTACGTCATACCCATATAACATACCTGTATCTTGTTCTTATAATTATACTAACTACCTTAGGTAGCTATATGGTGATTAACTCTTTCTGGTTTTCCTTGGTCTTCCCTAGTTTTAGCACTAAAGACTCAAGTCTCAGGAATCCCCTCAGTTTGGGGCAAACTGAGATAGCAATTGGCATTTCAGGTGATTTCTTTTAGATAGCTGAAGATTTAGCCCCCAAACCTTCAATACTTTCTAAAATTATAAACATCTTTCAAGGATATATTTCTCAACACTTCCTTTTAGAGGAAGAAAAAATCAGGCTTGTTTGGGTCTTATATAAAATAAAAGTAAATAGGTTCTAAATGGGTGCCTGACACCCTCTTATATTACTAACACTCTATTGATCACTCAGGGGCTTTTGTCTTTTCTCTTTCCTATATCTATCTTTCTGTGCTTACTTCCTGGCTCCCATCTGACTACTGGATCAATGGACGTTTTGTAGTTTGCCATATTACTTAGTGCTTATATAGAATTTACCCCCTCAATCTTAATGAGTTTATCATTATGCACATATTATATATGAATGGAAAGTGCATTGGGTAATAACTGTCACTCTGGATATATTGACCCTTGTGTCAAATCTGTTGCTCTGCTTAGACATACACATATCTGTAACAGAGTCATTAGCTTTACTCTGCTTTGGATAACCCATTAAGTGATTTAAAACTTTTGGAATTCTCAGCTTTGAATCAAGATAATTGAACTTTCAAAAGATACTACATTCAAGAAATACTATTTCTGAAGCTTTTGAAATTCATTAAAGTCAATTTCACCAAGTCTAAATATCTCAGCTCCACTATTTGATGTTTTATTTATTTTTTGGAACCAGAAATTAAACCCAGGGGCACTCAACCACTGAGTCACATCCCCAGGACTTTTTAAAAATATTTTTATTTTTTTGTAGTGCCAGGGATTGAACCCAGAGCCTTGTGCATGTGAGGTAAGCACTCTACCAATTGAGCTATATCAAATTGACAAACTATATTTATATATAAATATATATATACATATATAACTATATAAACTATATAGTTATATTGGTTATGTGAGCCAATAATTTATGGTGCTAATCATGGCTGTACTTATAAAGATGGCTCAACTACTCTAGTCCATATTTTCTCTATATTCTCCCATTTCTCATGATACTGAGGTCTGGCCTTGTTTCTGGAGCCAGGATGACTTTCTGCCCTTGCTGGGGCACCCTCTTTTCCACTGCTCCAGTGGAGAATATTCAGACCATTGCTACTAGTTTCTGATGTTTGTCATCTTAACATAGCTTTTTTTAAATTTTTAAATTTTAAGACAGGGTCTTACTAAGTTGCTTAGGGCCTCAGTAAGTTGCTGAGGAGGCCTTGAATGGAATGTGCATTGGGTAATAAATGTCCTACCTCAGCCTCCCAAGCCACTGGGATTACAGGCATGTGCCACCATGTGCAGCTGGTTTTGTTCTTTTGTTTACTACCAAAGATGACTTAATATTGAGATGTCCCTTACAGTTGGCATTTCACTGGACTTTAAATGACTTTAAATTATGTTATACATTTTTAAAAGGCAGCTCAGGGCCTAATTGTAAATACAGAAATTATAACATATCATATGTAGCATATATAGCTGCTTAGCCTTCATCTACCTCATGAAGAGTTTTGTGGCCATCAAAAAGCATGTGCCTGGTGAATCTGGAGACTATCATGCTAAGTGAAATAAGCCAATCCCCAAATACCAAAAGGTCAAATGTTTTCTCTGATTTGTGGGAGCTAAACCACAATAAAGAGGGGTAATAGGGAAGAAAAGAAATTCAGAAGATTAGACCAAGGGGGAAAAAAGAAGAGGGGGATGATAGGAAAAGGAAAGACAGTGGAATTAATCTGATATAATTTTCCTATGTATATATATATATATATATATATATGAAAATACCTCAGTAAATCCCACCATCATGTGGATCCACAAGAATGGGGTCCTAATTAGAATAAGATATAACCTATGCTTGCATAATTTTTATCAAAATGGATTCTACCATCTGCATGATTAAAAATAATCAATTAAAAAAAAAGCTTGGCTTGTGTATATAGCCACCTTCTCTGCATTAAGCTATATGTGAGATAGTTATGTGAGGCCTGGTCTTTATCCCTCTACTTTACAGGTTTGACCTCAACTTTTACCTTTTCTTCCTTGTAATCCAGGAGGAAGACATCATAAGAGAAAGTCGCTTCTATTTCCGTGGCTATGGCCTGGGCCACTGCCTGCAGGGAAGGGATGGAGGCCCAATGGAAGGTTCTAGTATTTATAGCCCCCAAACTCCCGCCCCTCTTCTAAAAGAAGGAGAAACCACTCGGAAACTCTATGTGGACCGGGCCAAGAGAATTGACACCATCTCCCGGGCTGTCTTCCCTTTTACTTTCCTCATTTTCAATATTTTCTACTGGGTTGTCTATAAAGTGCTACAGTCAGAAGACATCCACCAGGCACTGTGAATAAGGTGGAGGTTATAGAGTACAGCTTATGGCTTTCTGCTTCTTCCTGGGTGGGCTTTCCCTCCCCATTAGACTCCACTGGGGAAGACAGTTCCTTCCCAATCTCCCATTCAGAATTTCCAACTACCTGTCCCAAAGCTATGTGAGCCAATACTGCATGGTGCCAATTGTGGCTGTACTTATAAAGACGGCTCATCTACCCTAGTCCATATTTTCTCTATATTCTCCCATTTCTCATGATACTGAGGTCTGGCCTTGTTTCTGGAGCCAGGATGACTTTCTGCCCTTGCTGGGGCACCCTCTTTTCCACTGCTCCAGTGGAGAATATTCAGACCATTGCTACTAGTTTCTGATGTTTGTCATCTTAATCTATACCAGTCCTCTCCCTACCACCTCCCCCCACCAGATCCTAGCTCTTACTTGACCCTCTATCCCTCCTATCACAACCTCAAATAGGAAGTCTTTCCCATACTCAAGTGCTGCCTGTGTGACCCAGTCAGGTTTCCTTACAGTGAGAGGAAGACAAAGATATAGGTTTTCTTCCTCTTAAAAAGAATGGAAGAGTCATAGGCTGAACAGGGCTAGGAAGGCATGTGAACATTGGGAATATGACCCAACAAAGGACTGTTCAAGTTTTCTGAGAAATTTAACACTATCAGAATTGGGGAAGAAACCCTTGGGACCTCAGAAAGATCACCCCTCCATATACACCTGAATTTCCTCATCTCAGAAATATCTATTCTATTCCATAGTTAACATGGTGGCAGGGTTCTTTATGCTGGATAGTATAAAGAGAGAAAAGAAAATCTTCTCAAAGAAAAAAATTCTTTATGAAATGTATGATGCTAGGAAACTCAATAAAAGTGAGATCAAAAGTAGTAGAACCCAGGAAGAGTATAAATATAGGAACCATCCTCAGAGAGTCTGTTGTTGACTAGATTTTCATTTGTTTCTTCTTTTTTCTCCCAAGTCTTTATTTTCCAGGACCCTCATTTAAAACTTGCTCCTTCATTTCCTTTTAATGAGCAAGTAATGGTGCCATGCAATCCTGTTCAGATCAGAGTGAGCTTCAAAACTCCTGGGAAGGAACTAGGCATATAAAGGATAGCTATCCTGGACAAACATTGACTCAACCAACCTCAGAGTAGTAGCTTTAGAAGTTAGAGAGCCATAATAAGTGTTGTTTGTTCATGCTTCTCTTGTTTCCCTTTTTCCTTCTATAGTAAGGAACAGTGAAAGATTTAGCAGTCAGTTAAAGCTACTAGAAATGTCAGAATAGAGAGGTTGGTGTGGTATGTTTCAGGCCTAACATACCACTGCAATGTGGGGCAGCATGGGCCTGGTACACTAAATTCTTTGAATTACCCTAACTATGGAGGAACAGAAACAAGATATGAGAGATTAAAGGGTGGGGATAACAGCTGGACCAAGTGATCAAATAATCTCTCAGACATCTTGACCTTTTCTCTGGAGCTAGAATAATTAACTATATAAGTCCAATCTTCTCTCCCCATGTCTCACTCTCTCCCAACTCACTCACTCCACATGATATCCAATTGAAAGTCAATAAATCCAATGATCAAAGTAAATCCTATAGTCAAACAAAAAACTCTTGCTTTCTTTCTTCGTTGAGGTTGTCTGTTCTTTCCTGTTCACACAAATGCTCTTTTCGTGAAGAGAATATTCTGGTCTCTTCATCGTGAAGAGAATATTCTGGGGTGACCAAGGTAGCTTTTCTAGAAGTTATTTTTGTTTGCGATATTATCACTCTGGTGACAAGAAGACTCAAGATTTAAAAACTGGTTTAAAGGAAGAGATAGAATGGAGAATAGCAGAGAGCCCCTGTTTTCCCATTTCTGCTCAGGTAGTGCCAATGAATGAGAGGCCACAAGCAATACCCCTTTGAAAGGAGCAGAGAGTATCTCTTTGATACTCTCCATGGTGGGGCTGGGGTGTCAGGCTGCCGCAGCCCGAAGGCGGGGGTAGAGGGGGGTGGACTATGGAGATGAGCTTATTGCACAGAGCTCTGCTTGTTGTAGATCTTGTCCAGATGGGCCAACTGCACAAATCTGCCCTGTTGGAAGTCTCAAGAACAATGCCCTGGAGACAGCTACAGCACTGAGCAATAGAGCCTGCCCAACTGGGATCCAGATCAGGGCATCAGCTGGTGCTGGGAGCCAAAGAAGTCAAAGTACCAACCAACATAATAGCCCAAAGGAGCTCACAGAGCTACTCAGAGGCAGCATCAGGTGGAAGATATTACCCCTTCCATTGGAGTCCCTAAAAGAAGAAGGGTGATGCATTGTGTCAGAATCAGGTACACCCTTCCCACATATGTACAGGGGCTGGGGAAATGCTAGGTCTCACGGAGAGCATCAGATGCCTAGCAATCCATTCAATCATGGAATTCTTAAACTTAGACCCTTCTAGCCAGAGTGCATTGGCAAGAGGTGATATGAAAGACTCACTTGGAGGTCACTTCCACTTATGTAGTCATTTACGTAGTACTCACCCCTCCAGAGACCCACACTACTTTCTGCCTGAATCACATCTGAAGTGATTTTGAAATTTAAAATTGCATTTTTTAAAAGGGGAAAAACTTCCTACATAAAAAAGTGTTTTGGGTGTTTTCATTAATTCATTGTTAATATTTAATGTCAGTTAAATATTTTATACATATATTTTTCCAGAGAAAAGGCTTTATTTATTCAGTTGTTGTTAAGACTATCATCTCCCCTTGAGCATGCTCTGCTCTTTGGAAAACCAGCAGTCTGTCCTCCCTTTTCCACTTAATCCACTAGCAGAGCTTCTTGCTCTCCCAGAATTCACAGGCAAAGCCAAAAGAACTTTCTAAATGGAAGAAGGATAGTGGATAAAATTTATTTCTTTAACTTTCTCCCATAAGCATTTTCCCCTACCTATCACCAAAGAATAGGTGCTCTTCTATTTAAAATTTTAAGCTGGCTTAAAGTTATTTTCTCTTTTCATTAAGTTACACAAATATCCCAATGTTGTGCAGAACATATCACATCCTGGGAATCTTTATATGTATCTTCATTTGCCTCTCTCCACTCTCATTCTACTATTATCAATACTGTAGCTCTTATCTCATCATTTCTGGCTACCAAAATCTTAAATTTGACTTCACTATATTAGTATTAATGACTTTAGGCTTCTCTGTTCATTCAGACAAATCAAACAAGCATGGGAACCACCCAGGGATTGGGAAGTCAGGGAGTATTACCATTGGTTCAGTGGAAGAAATGTAGAATATGCTCTTTGAGGAGAGAGACTGCATCTTATACAACTTGTTAGCCCACTCTGCTCCTGCTATCTAGCAGTACTCCATATGTGTACAAAATAAAAGCAAGACTTCCCACTTTCCTTATCATATACCATAATTCAGTTCATTCCCTCTCCATGAATGTATTAATCACAGAAAACCAGACCTGAAAGAGATCTTATAAAATCACATAGAGTTCACACACACATGCATGTGCACACAGGCTAATTTTTGGTTAAGTTAAAGTTAAGAAGACAGCAAAACCTTATAAATTGCATTACTGAATTAAGAATGATAATGAATTAAGAATCATAATGTTGCCAGGCACAGTTGCACATATCTGAAATCCCAGTGGCTTGGGAGGCTGAGGCAGGAGGATTGCAAGTCCAAAGCCAGATTCAGCAACTTAGTGAGGCCCTAAGCAACTCAGCAAGACCCTGTCTCTAATTAAAATATTAAAAAGGGTTGGAGATGTGGCTCAGTGGTTAAGTGTCCCTGGGTTCAAGCTCCTATACCTAAAAAAAAAGAACCATAATGTTCTTTTTTAATTATTTTTTAGTTGTAGTTAGACACAATACCCTTATTTAACTTATTTATTTTTATTTGGTGCTGAGGATCAAACCCAGGGTCTCACACGTGCGAGGCAAGCATATCACCACTGAGCCACAACCCCAGCCCCATAATGTTCTTATTAAACATCAATAATACTCCATATAGCCAGCCATGGGGTGCACACCTGTAATCCCAAGTACTCAAGAGGCTGAGACACGAGGATCACAAGTCCCAAGGTCAGCCTCAGCACCTTAGCAAGATCCTGTCTCAAAAGTAAAAATAAAATAAAATAAAAGGTCTGGGGACGTAGCTCAGAGATAAATCACCCTGGGTTCAATCCCCAGTGCTACAAAAATGATAATAGTAATAATACTCCATATATGAAGACTAATATCAAGCTATATTTCAAAAACCAATCATCAGAGGACCCTGGTGGTGGCAAGCAAGTACAGTAGTGGGGATTTGGGCATTTGCATCTGTATCCCTTCACCCTACTCCACCCATTGTTCTTGCTGGGGAGACAATCATTTCCGAAGTTGCTCTTCCTAGCCTCACACTATGCTACATCATAATTCACAACTATGATAATGTCTACAGATATGGGCTGGTGACATCAGAACAACCCTGTTAGCAAATCTTAGGATTAGGAGGAAGAAGGACAACTGAGCCAATGCACCCTCACAGAGCAGTCTCCCTGTAGAATAATGACAAAGAATGTCTGCCATCACAGGGCCACCTGAAGAAGTCTCATGAGAACCCAACTATTGCCACCCATCATAAGTAGCTTTTTGCAGCCTCTGTTTTCACCATGAGTCTTTCTACAAGTATCCTGTCACATTATACCACGTGGTGCATTACAAAGGAAGTGTACCTTTTTTCATAATCAATTTCCTGGAGTAAGGGCAAATTCTTACCATCTCCAAAATTTAGGGTGCACTTTTGCCTTACTGAGCTGAATTGAAAAAATATACACATATTCTCTATTTTAACAGTTTCCATTCATGACTGTGGTGATTAGGATGATGTGCTGGCTTTGGTACCAGAAAGACCCTGGGTTTGAATTACAATTCCAGCAATAGATATAGGTTCTTGGAAAAATTACTTCACCTCCTTCAGTCTAAATTTCTTCCTCTAAAGGATCATTTGAAATCTTGGAAAGATTCTG